CCGCCACGATTATCTGAATATTTGTCCAAAGCGAATGTTCGCGCTGAGGTGCTCGAGACAATGCTGGAGTGGGTCACTGGGGGAGGTGGCGCTCAAGATGTTTTGGATGACCCGCAGTTGCTGCAAAGCCTGCAGTCTTTTTTGGAGAGTCCTGATGACCACCTATTTCGTGTTCCCGCGGATCTTGAAGGAGAGGCTAGTCTAAAGCAGTCCATGTTGTCATTACGTGAGATGAGGCAGTCTCTTCGCCGTAACTTCCGAAGTCAGTCGATGCGCCCTTCTTCACGAGCTTCCTCATCGTCGGCTATCATACCGTCGCCAAGCATTGTCCGTGTGCGGAACATGAGCGCCAGGGAGTCCCCTGATATTGATCGAATAAATGCTGAGGAGCTAGTGGAGATTCTTGACGGCATGGCTTGTGCGACGTTTAGCAATGTTACGGAAGAGGTATATATTTCTCTGATGTTTCATTTCTGACGCTGAAAACGAGTCCGTATTAGGATCTTTACATCACGTCTGACTTACTCGAAGTTCAAAGCGCTGACCGAACCAGCTGGTTTTCGTCTAAAGAAGGCCCCACTGCCGAAGATAGTATCGAAATCCAGACCATTTATTCTCACATCCAGGACGTCGAACCTTCACTTCTGATCTCGGAACTTGGCCAAGATTCTCTCTATCGACTTCTTCCCCCCGGTGTTCGCAGTTGTATCAGGGCGTACGCCATCTTACGCAAATGGCTGATATCAAAGATTGTGGCGCCACGATTAGGACTACAAGCTCGACAAGCTCGCATGGAGCTCCTGCTCCGGACCATTGAAATCAGCCGTATACGGAATACAGAAAAGAGTTCAAAATCGAGGCTAATTGACCAAGTCTGTGTTCGTTCATTTGTTGAAGCCGTGGTGTCGTCCGCAGTAATGAGTGTTGAGAGTCGAATGCACTATAGGGCCTGGCAAAACGTGGCAGCAAGCCGCAACACGCAATGTGATTCTCTGTCATCTCTACTGTCACGGTCATCTAGCCAGTCTTTAGGGTCAAAGGATGCTTTAACAGTTGATATGGGTTGGGTCATAGAACGGCTTCTTGACGTTATATCGACACCTGATGTAGTAGAGCCAAGCCAAGATGGTCAGAGCCTCGTCAACTTTGATAAACGCAGGTCAGTCATTTTACCCACAGCGAGACAGATCCTTGATTTTTTCGTCATTCAGGCACTTGTGCAATCTGATTGCCAACACACCGCCACTTCACTCTTCTCGGCAACGTGGCGATATAGCGCGCCGGGGTTTTGAACGTTTGAACAACATCGAACGCGAGGTCGTGACCCTGCAATTTGATCATCGCGGGATACGGGAGGAAGGCCAACGCGAAGGACTACACGGAAACACTAATGGTCCGCCGTCGACTAGGAGGCTGTCTCGGCCATTTCAACGCATAGTACTGGCCCAGACGGACAAGATCAGACGTGATCGCAACTGGCGGAGTAGGCTGCAAAAGGAGAAACTTCTGGAGCAGTCAAGGAACGAGAAGCGCGAAGACATGCTTAATAAAGCTATGCGACCCCGAAAGCGTCCCGGCACTCCGACGAAACAGCATCGCAACAAGAAAAGCATGTCAGCGTTTTTGCACTTCATGCGGCCAATCTCCAGTGCCTTTGGCAGTGAACCTACCCACGGTCCCGAGTTGAAACGAACAGTCTCTGAACTCGACTTCACCCCCACTGGGAAGCCGGTGTTGGTGCTCAGCTTGGTTGACGCGCGTGTGGTCGAATTCATCAATAACGAGCGCTCGTATATGTTCAAGGTCGACACTGAAGACGGAGGCCACTATCTGCTGCAGGCGATGAACAAGCGGGATATGACCAAGTGGTTGGAGACTATCAACCGGGTGACGAAAATGGCGGCTAAACGTCGACTTACGTATATCGGCAGTTCGCCCAAGCCCGAACTGTCCGATCTCAGGGCAGGATCTTCAGCGCCGTCAAGAGACCCTAACGCTGGTAAGTCGATATCCGTGCTCAACCTGCTACTCTCCCTTACACCTTATGACAGTCTTTGGTGTTGACCCACAAATTCTGCTGGAGCGAGAAGCCGAAGGAGAAGTTCCTTATGGCGCTCTGCCAAAAATCATCGAGCAATGTCTTTCAGAGATCGAAAGCCGCGGTTTGACTGAAGTTGGCATCTGTAAGCACCAGGTGGATGCAGTACTTGTTATTTACTGACAATATTCTCCAGATCGCATTGCTGGCGCCACCTCTGAGATCACCAGTCTCCGTGACGCTTATAACCGAGGTAGGAAGAACCATTCCCGCAATACGACGTCATTTAAGTCGTTTTCTTTGTAGGGCTAAGTCCGATTAAAAGTTCGACGGATATCCATGCTGTGTGTGATCTTGTGAAGTCGTGGTTTCGGTTGCTTCCAGAGCCTGTCTTTCCTGCTGCGTCTTACTTTGAAATCATTGAAGCCACCAGTGCGTCTTCCCACGTTCCCTGCGCCCGTCACCTCATTGATCACCGAATACAGAGCTGGAAGATCTGGATGCTCGACTATCAGCGATACAGCGCATCGTCCAGGGCCTACCACAGGCAAACTTTGACCTTCTAAAACGCGTTTCAGAGCATCTCGACAAGTATGTATTACATTTCTGTATGATGCATTTCTGACTTATTCGTGCGACAGAGTCACAGACTTTGAAGAGTACAATCAAATGACGGCAGAAGCATTATCGATCGTTTTCAGCCCCAATCTGTTGCGCCCTCCCAAAAACGACTTCACCATGCTTCTGGCTAATATGGGACACACGAATAAGCTCGTTAAAGCGCTCATTACACATGTAATACTATTTCATGGATTGCCGTTCATCGTCACTGATTGATATCATTACAGTTCCACGCCATCTTTGACGAAGCCGACCCAGACGCAGAGGCGGATCCTGATGATGAGGAAATCGACTCTCCAATCATGGAAGAAGAGGAAGATGATGCCATGCCGTTTAATCCGAACCCAGAATCCACTCCCTGACTTACCGACCACAACACTATGCTGTTCATTCACCGTCACCATCCTTGTACCATGTTGCGCCACACACTTTACTCCTGGGACTTCGGACTCGGAATCATCATAAAACTTTCAGGACTACTTATGGACGTTTGGCATCCTTAATCCGATTTTTATCTCTTATGCATGTTTTATTAGAAGGTAAAAATATCCTGTACACTGGCACGAATTTTGAGGTTTATTTAGGTTTTGACACGCTTACCATATGCGAACGTATTACTGCGTATAATTGATGTGTATATGTTAGATTGTAACTATCAGCAGGGTACGCCCCGACCTTTGTATCACAGCCGTCCTGCAGCGCAATATTCGGTGACCCTTGGCAAGGCGTGTCGACGCAGTTTCAAATTCTGCTATACGGATGCGGACACGGGTTCCTAAAACGGCAACACAAAGGAAGGTAGTACAAAGAAACTCTGCTTAATCCGGTTCCTTTATTCCTCATGGTACATATACAGGGGACCGCGACGGGAATGTCATCTTTCCTTTCCTTTCTTTCCCCCCATCCCAAGCTTGCTTGATTCCTCTTTTATTCTTTTATCATCGCGTTGACCGTGATCATGAACTCGACCTATAGCCGCTACGAATTTCCAGAAGACGTACAGATCTCTCGTGTTCCCCGTGTACGGGAGATAATGGTACGTGCGTCTTAAGGAACGTCGACCTTTGCCTCACATAAGACTTTACAGATTCTGGAGCTGAATCTGCAGCGTCTCAAGAAGACCATAGAGGGGCTTAACGCTAATTGCGACAATCTCATGACCCCACCTCCCACCTCCAACTCTTTATTGCTCTCCGGAGAGCCTTTCACGCCATTTCACGACGACGACGAAATCATGACCGACGTTACAGACAGCGATGATCTAATCGATACACGCTCTTCCATATCTTCCAACGATACCACTTACTACTACACCCCCGATACATCCCCCATCCTGACTTCATTTCACATGAGTGACGATGACGACGATTCCATGTCCGACATTTCTCTTCCCATCACACCTGACGCGTTCGACGTCCCCCCATTCGAATTCGATCCTCTCTCTGAGAATGTTGATGATATTTTGGAAGAACGCTCTCGCTATGATGGTTGGAAACATCTCGCCAACAAGCTCAACCTCGAGTTATTTCGAGACTACTTCTTGCGTTATCGCTCCGGTCCTCGGCGTAGAGTGGTCACTAAACATTCGTATTATGCGCATTGGGCTCACGCGAAACAAGCAGAATATGTGTCGCCCGTGGGCACTGGTGATGGGTTGCATGGTTTGGGGTATTCACAGGGAGCCTTGGGAGAGCAGAAAGAACATCAACGATGACACTGCACTCTGATTGATTTTGACATTTCTATTCTACCATCATTCTTTTCTTCGTATTTTATACCCACCTAGCGTGGGTCAATTATTAGGCCGTTACATCACCACCATATGCTAATGTACAACACCGAGTAGTGTAGAGAGTACCTGACGGTAGTTGTCGGTAGTCCTAGTCATGCCCTCAGAGACTGGCACAGACAGACTGCCGTCTGGAAGCTATTATCACTATACTTACGATAGCGTTGTTGATGAGATGGAGAGAATAGATCGTGTATGAACGCGGTAATTACTATACGTATAATGCTGCGTTATTAGCAGCGAAGTAAGCTGGGCAACGATGCTTTGATGCATGAAGAGATCCTAGTGCACCGTCTACCAATGAGTAAAAGCCACCACGTCGAGGACTAGAAGGTAGTAAACGATTGTATGGCAATCAAATATATCCAGAAAAACCTGGAGGATGGAAGTCCAGTTTCGATTAATGATCTCAATGTGTACTTATCCTTCTTTGAAATTATATACGAATGATGTTGTGAACATTGAACAGCGCAGAGTGAACATAAATAGTCAGTAGTGCGAAGTGAACTTTGAAAATAAACTACTGAATATTCAATGATAAAACAAAACATATGATGAGAGTGGGATTCGAACCCACGCCCTTTCGGACCAGATTTTATGATCACCATGTGACTTGGTCCCGATGATCGATCAACCTTAGTCTGGCGCCTTAACCGCTCGGCCATCTCACCATAATAGTTGGCTAGTTGAATAGCGCTATATGTCGCTGGACATAGGGTTTGACCTCGATACAACTTCGTTCTTTGTCTCCGTTTAGTAAAATTTAACTGCACAACATCTCAAGATTTCTTCATACGAATGTAGTATTTGGAGAGAAATTTGTTCCTTATAATTCGACACAAACGGAACACGGAAACGACTAATGTCAGACTGAACATCCATAGCATGTTCCTCGGGCTTCTATTTTCTATTTTTCTATTCATTCGTGCTGCTGTCCACATTTCTTTCCATACTCAGCCATTAGATCTACGTTCCTTTCTCCATCGAGCGAGTTTCTGATCTGTCGAGGCTGACAACCAAACATTTTTAGGGCGCTAATTGCAGTCATCTCGCCTTCCTTGTCCAGGCACAATGTGACATCTACATTTAGATTTACTAGAATCGGGCATGGATTTCAGTCAGCGTCAATGTTTGTAACTGGGTGGTAGAAGTATTCTTGCGGGTACCACACCAATGAAACACTCGCGTAGTCGGTCGAAGAATTGAAGAAAAGCCGTTGTTGTAGGCGACCCAAAACAAAAGTAGCTGAGTGAGAAATGTGCATTTAAAATGACGTGGATTCGCCGACGCCTGCCCGCATCGTCGCTTCACGAACATCATGCGAGCTTTGTGCGCCTTGTCCTTGTCCTTGATTTGGAAGCTTCTCCTCTTACAGGAGCTGCGCAGGTAAGGTCAGGCTCGAGTCTCTTCAATGACGCTTGACCTGCATCTAATCTATCAGAAACGCCCGCAATAAATTGCACTGACCGAAAATGGCGAGCCAGCAGCAAATCCCCACCCTCTTGCGCATTCAGTTCTACTTAGCATGATTACAACTTCGACTCTGAAAAAAGTCTTGTTCTTCACAAACAGCGAATACGGGCAAGCCAACATTGTCCTCTCCGTCGCGCACGAGCTCTGTTTTCGTCCGGACGTCGAAGTACATATTGCGTCTTTTCCTGGTAACTTGATTTCGTTTGTTCAATCCTCATTATATACTGATGCTGATTTTGAAAGTGCTCTCACCACGTATCAGGGACCTGCAGGACCGTCTTCGTGTGACAGGGAGTTCTGCCCGGATATTCTTCCATCCTCTCAGGGGGATATCCCTGAAAGAGGCTCGGATACGCAGAATCGGAACCAACACTCCCACCCACGCGCCCACTCTCTCTGGAGCTTTCCGGAGTTTTCGACGCTTGCCGTACTATGTCGCCGAATGGTCTGGCCCAGAGTACATGGAGCTCTATGATAGCTGCGTCGAGATCATCCAGGATCTCAATGCACACGCTGTCGTGATTGAATACTTCCTGAGTCAGGCTATCGATGCGTGTCGATTCCTGAATCTAAAGTTCATTATTATGACACCAAATGCACCCAAGGTGAGACTCACCCTCGTTTTATATCAGTTCGTCTTACAAGTATTTTTGTTATACAGGACATCATCGGCCGTATCCAGCCATATGGCTCTATATTCTGGAAGTATCCTGTCATGTCGTCCGGTATCCCATACCCCATGTCGTGGTATCACATTCCGAAGAATGTTTTCCTCACCTGCGCCATGGTCTACTTCATGTTCTCTTCCCCCAAGATACAGGAACTCGTTCAATATCGTCAGAAGCTCGGTCTCAATAACACCATTCCCATGTTTGAACCATACATGGGCGATGCACATTATCTCTGTCCCGCCACCCCCGAAACCGACTTTCCCTGTGCCATTCCGGACAACGTAACGTTGTGCGGCCCCATCCTCGTTCCAGCAGTTCCAGTGGAGGAGAAAGACCCTGAACTCGCCAGTTGGCTTGACGGCGGACCGACCATGCTTGTCAACTTAGGGACGCATGCTGTTTTTGATGAGAACAATGCCTGTCAACTTGCGAAGGCTCTGCGCATCGTACTAGATCACGACCGTTCTATTCAGGTTCTCTGGAAGGTAAAAGCACATGACGACGTGAAGGCTTCCTTGCACGATATTTTAGGGAGCGATATGGCGAAGGGGAGAGTAAGGATCGTTGATTGGCTAGATGTTGAACCATTAGCAATCCTCAGGCATCCCAATCTCGTCTGCACTGTCAATCACGGTGGAGCTAACAGCGTCTATGAGGGAATTCAGTATGTCTCTTCCAGTTCACCGATAATCAAACTGCTTACCATGTATTAGCACCGGGATCCCTCAGATAGTTCTGCCAATGTGGTACGATTGCTATGGTGAGCTATCGGCATTGGGATGGAATCTGACTGAAAAAAAGACTATGCAGCGCGTGTTGAATGGCTCGGGATCGGCATTTACGGCAATAAGAAATCTGCGCCTGGAGTAGAAGCCTCCGAGCTTAGTGGCGCTCTGACTAGGGTAATTGGCGGCGGTGATGAGGCTGCGCGATTCCGAGCCACGGCTAAGTCTCTAGCTGAGGACATCCGAAACTACACTGGGCAAGTGATGGCATGCGACAAGATAATGGAACTTGCGCGTACGAAGTAGTTTGAATGGCGTAACGATGGACCGTATGTTTCCCTCGTAGGTATCAAGGCTTCAAGGACTTTTGTAGAGTAAAAACGGAGTTGTTGATTCTGAAAACAAAGACGAGAAACAAAGGATGATACGCGTTGCCACCTAGAGAAATCTAGCCTTTGTCTAAGGAGTGGCATTAAGCGTCTCATAAATGGGGAGATGGACTGCACGCACAAAATGACACCATATCCCCAATCTATCTTTCAAATCGTCTCGCGCGAGAGGCGTAACATCTGTCGTCTTCATGTCAACGCCCAACGTTCCAAAGCAACCCCGACGCCATCGACGCGGCGTAAAGAAGGCAGCATCAACCAAACAGGAGGCGAACGTGGAATCTCGTTCTCGATGCCCACCGCCGACGACACAGAATCCAGATTCTTGGCCCCCGCAAATGGTGAAGCCGACCTTGCCTCAGTTCCCCTGACTAAACCCCTTCACAGATCTCGTTGTCAGCGATTGAGAAACTCTTCGAAGAGTTCAGAAAGGAATATGGGCCGCGCGATCCTGCCACACGCTACGGACAGCCTTCGGATGACGAGATAGTTATCTATCCACGCGTGCTACGTTGGACGTCGGTGCTTTCATCAGCAGGTTGTGTCGAGCGTTGTAGCTCCCTGTAATGCGCATATAATCAATTCTGAGCAAGGATAAGGCGCATATATCCAAGTCGAAGAGGCCCGCTAGCCTTCCTCAGTGACAGGCAAGGACGCCACCAACGCCACATCAACAAGGCGTTGACGGGAATGCCTATAGATATCACACTTGTATTCATCATGAGCAACATTCGCGTTCCAACGTTTACTGACGCGTACTTGAATGCTGTCCAGATAGCCAGCGCCGCCGCAGGCGATCTTGTCAAGCAACAGCTGCCTTCTCAGTGAGTCCTCTTGAATCTTCGCGGATGTATAAGGGCGAGCATCCCTGAGAGCATTCATCCTAAAGAAGAGAGGCGGCGATGAGGGAGTGTAGCGACGGCGATAGCGAAGCCATGGGAGGAAGGAAGAGAGAAAGCCAACGCAACTACCAATGAATTAATGATGACGCATCGAAAGTATTTTGTCCGATCGCCTCCGTTTTCATCATGACGAATTGGTACAGAAATTGCCAAAATGGTATTATACAGTCGAGGCATTACATACTACTACAAGATAAGTAAAATACAGTCCTGGTGAACAATTTGATATTCGAATTCTGGCTTGTCATGAAGTAAATGAGACCATCAAGATCAATTCTTCCTTTCTACCGCAACAGCAGGAGTATTCGGCGGCGCCAATAACGCGCTCGAAGGAGGAGGCATAAAAGCATCGGGGTCTACGCTAAGCCTAGCATGTTTCATGCTCGACGCCAGAATGGCATCATAGATATCGTTGTCTACGACAAGATCCGCCAAAGACTTCGCAGACGACTGTGGCGAGCCCGACGACAGCGCACTGGACGAGGACATCCTCTGGAATGACTTTGGGTCCAGCGCGAGTTCAGATATTGTTGGGCTAGCAGGCGTAGGGCTGAGTACGGGGTGTGGCGGCGGGGCGCCAGCGACTGCTGGTGCCTCATGATGTGTCGCGCGTCTGCGGCGAAGGAATTCGAGAGGCATGCTACAATCGGAATGTCAGGATGCAGAGGAGAGACTCAAGTCAACGACATACCTGAGTAATAACGAGGAGGCGTGGTTACAGAACGAAAGGTATTACCGGAGGGCGTCAAGCCTTAGGCCAAAGGATACGAAGATGAAAGGATGATCCCCCACCCAGGTCCCACCAGTCCTTTTATATGCAGGCACAGCCAACAACAGTGTATACCCGTTTCCATGATAAACGTGATCCCATCTCAAAGGTTCCCGAGTACAGCTACGGTAGGGCTGGAACCGCCGCTTAAGCGTTTGACTGCATGCGTCCACACAACTCGTCTAATTATGGGTGGTCGCCATCGGTGGTGTCGAGCAGCACTGACACTGAGGTTAGTGAATAGGCGTTCCAGCACTTCAAATCGTATTACCTCTTGGTGTCAAAGGTAGAAAGCAAACCCGCCTTGACCGGAAAAAGGCGCAGTGATGTTACATTCGGCTGGTTCAGCCGCTACAGTTTCCTCACGCTCCTTCCCGAGACCTCATTAGTTGGTCCTCGTTACGCCGGTTGCCGGGGCCTCTGCATCCGTTGCAGGGTTTCTTGCACCGGTTTCACATCCATCATCAGCTCAGTCACAAAGCCCAGTCAAGATCAACCCTTTAGTGATTGGTGCTTGAGCTATTTTGTGACTGGACTAACCTGTTTAGGCGGTGTGAGCCTTGATCATACAACATGGAATTGACGAGAGCATGACCCACCTCAAACAACGTTGGTACCGTTCTCTATGAACCTTCAAAAACAATAATGTTGTAGTCCGTTTGAGTGTCGCTTGTGGTCACCATGGTACTCCTCGTGAGACCGGTGCCCGACAACCTCGACGCCAATGATGTCAGAGGCGGTA